GGGCAGCAGCTTCAGGCTCTGCTGGGCTGCAACAGCTCTGCCTCTCCATCCCCAGAGCTTCTGTGAAGCTGAGCTGCTCTGCCAGCCTGGTGGGCACAGACACCTCACCAGCAAGTGTGGGCATGGGGATGGGGTCACACTCACCCTCCCAGCGTACTTATAGATTCATGGAATCACAGAATGCCGGGTTGGAAGGGACCTCAAGGACCATCTGGTCCAACTTTTCTAGGTAATACTCCAGTTTATGAGGTGGCTCAGCACCCTGTCAAGCTGAGACTTAAAACTGTCCCATGTGGGGGAATCTACCACTTCCTTTGGGAGACTATTCCGGTGCTGGACTGTCCTTGTGGTGAAAAATGTACCTCTTGTGTCCAATCGGAATCTCCCCAGGAGCAGCTTGTGCCCATCACCCCTTGTCTTCTCCATGTCACTCCTTGGAAACAGGGAGTCTCCATCTTCTTGGTAGCCACCCTTTAAGAACTGGAACATGGAAATAAGGTCTTCCCTGAGCCTTCTCTTCTTGAGGCTGAACAAGCCCAGTTTTCTCAGCCTCTCTTCACGTGGCAGGTCCTCCAGTCCTCTGAGCACCCCTGTGGCCCTAGTTCATTCTCCCTAAAAACCAGTGCACTTCAGAATACATCTAATCAGTTATGCAAATGCTCCCCTTGCAGGCTGAGTGAGCCGCTCAGATGGGTGAGTGCCACTAGGCACAGTTGTCTTAGCAGGAGGAAAGTGTGAGGATGGGTTTGGTTCTTAGCACTGGGATAGACCAGGAATAAACCAGTTCTGGCCTGGAGAGTCATCTTAGCAGTCATAAAAGGGCGAATTAAAGCCAAAGGCTCTTGCCTGTCTTTGTCCTACCTTGGTATTTCCATCTCCTCCTGTGTGGTTCACTGAGGACTCTCCGTGCCCTTGCAAGGCAGCACAGCTTCCCTGGGGCTCCAGGGCCCCTGTGGGCAGGACGTAGGGCTGCTCCCCAGTTTTGGGCAGGAGAAACCCCTGTGTCCCTGGGGGATGTTTCCTGCAGGTTACACCAGCCCTCGTCCCACCACTGCCTGCAGGGGAAGGGGCTTCGTGGTGCTCCACGGGAACCTGCTGTAAATACAGGTTTGAGAAAGCAAGAACTCGTGCCACTGCATTTTGGCTTTGCTGGGTGATCCCTCTGTGCCTGAATAACTTGGGGTTTTTTCCTGGGTAATGCTGAAACAGATTCTTCCCTTTTCTGAAGTGATTTATTTTTGTGAGTCTTCCGTTACCTCATTCCCATCAGCTTGCTAACTGGGCTGAGGTTCGAGCTGGTTGTGTAGCTGATGTTCCTGTTGATGTGCTGGACCCTCCAAAGGGATGGCTTTGGAAAACAAATGACTGCTGAGCAGAAGGCGAGTTGCCTAGACTAAAATATCTCTTCTGCTGCATTTGCAGTCTCTAGCAGTTGGATATACGAGTTCTGTTATTTTTACTCTTGCTGTTGTTGCACACAGCAGCAATTGGTCCCTTTCTGCTGCAGCATTACCTGACACAGCACAGCTGGGCTCCCTTGCTCCGGGGCCTGGTGCTCCGTTGCAGCTGCGGGTCTGGCAGCATTTTGGTGCTAAACCCCTGGGTTTGGGGATGTGCAGGGGAGCATGGAAGTCTGTTTGATTTGGGTGGTTGACACAGAGTTGCTGCCTGCAAACGCACACTGAAGCAAAATGCAGCTGCTCCAGAGGAGCAG